TTATATTATATTTTTACATTTTATATTATATTTAAATCTTATATAAAATTTTACACAAAACTAATTATAAATATTATCATTAATGATATTTGACTTATGTTCTAAAGGCACAAATTAAAAAATCCCTTCCTTTATTATGAAAATTGCAACAAATAAAATTGACAAAGCATTATAATGCAGACTTGGGCCAGGTTTTGCAGGCTTCTGTTCTGTACATTGAGAAAAATGCTTTGGGATGGATCATTAGTTCAATCACAATCAGTGCCACAATCTCGAGCCTATTTTGGTCCATTGAGGAAGTTGCTTTGGGCTTTGACTCTTTGACCCAGAACCTAGATAGCCTAGCACTAGCAACGTTTTACACGTGACTGCAACCGACGCAAATGCCTGTTGATATCGAGTCCACCTCGGTCCATCTGGACGGCAGAAGTCGGTCATCAGGACACTGCAATATGTGGCCAGAATGCATCAAGCCAGAGTGATCAAATGATCATGCGGCTTCCAATCAATCAAATGTTGCACCATTGGACCCTACCACTCATAAATTTTCATCAGGCGGGTCGTAATTGACAACCTCTTCTGGTGGTGTTCATTAGCCTGGCCCTTGCACCATCGCCATCATCATGACCAATGATCGTTGGGTTTGTGGGTGATAATTGTCATTGGCAATAAGCAAATAAATGGTCTTTGCGTACAATTGAAGATTGCAAAGTGGGAAAAATCAATTTTCCGTCGACATATTTTCTACACATTGTATTCTGTAAATAAATTTTATATTGTATTATTAATAAAGTGTCAGAACAGTTGATTAAAAACTTAAAAATTAAGAATTATAAGATGGTTTTCTCTAAATAAAATACCTTCATCCTCTCCTAGAAGCTTTTTTTTTTAACTTTATGAAACAAAATTGAGTGAATTACCCTTCCTAGCAAGTAGGGATGTTAGTCATTGGTAGTACGAGGGACGTGCGTTACATTACCACCTCTTAACACCATACTCATTACGAATCTTAGGTACTATTTTTCTCAAAAACTTCTTACATAAATATTCCACACTTTAATTAAAAGTTAAGGATGAATCCAAGGTATCTAAGAGTGAAGTGAAGATCACCCATGGGTAAGACAAAGACATCCAAATCTCTACATTATCTTCACAGAAGAGGTTACACCTTTTCAAGGAATGAAATGGTCGGTCACATGTCACACCATACCCAAAATGCTTCCTTTTCTCTCTCTCAATCAAACAGAACCCTGAAAGAGACCAAAAATCTCACTTCTTAGCCTACCTTTGTCCAGAACTAGCTCTACAAATACCCCCCAGTTATTCAATTCCAATTCAACTTACTCTCCTAGAACACCAGCTCCATAGCAACACAAAAATGGAGGGGCAGAATGAAGATGTGAGGCTGGGGGCTAACAAGTACAGGGAGAAGCAACCTATAGGAACGGCTGCTCAAACAGATGCCAAGGACTATGTAGAACCGCCTCCAGCACCGCTTTTTGAAGTTGGGGAGTTATCCTCATGGTCCTTTTATCGGGCTGGCATTGCCGAATTTGTTGCTACTTTCTTGTTTCTTTACATCACGGTCCTGACGGTGATGGGCGTCGTCAAATCTCCAAACAAGTGTTCCACCGTTGGTACTCAGGGTATTGCTTGGGCTTTCGGAGGCATGATCTTTGCTCTTGTCTACTGTACTGCTGGCATTTCAGGTACTTTATTTTTTATTTTAACTTCGAACAGGGGAATATGGGAATGGAAGATAATACAAAGAAAAAAATATTGGAATATTTGTATTAATTTTGGATAATGTTGGATTTGAGGAAAATAAAAGGGAAAGGAAGAGAAATTTCTTGTTAAACATATTCAAATTTTACATACTCTTAATTTCGCTCAAATCAAATTCATCAAAAGTGAAGTACCTCTAACATTAAACAACAATTGTTTAATTTGTGTGAAACTACAATACAAAAATGTTAGTAGTTAGTACCTCTCAAATAATGTTGGGGCAGGGCACGCTTCCAATTTCATAAAATTCAATGTTTACTCACAATTGTGAGATTTTAGGACTCAAGTCACTCAACATTGGAGATTAACTTGGTGATGCAGGGGGTCACATTAACCCAGCAGTTACTTTTGGGCTGCTACTGGCGAGGAAGCTATCGCTGACAAGGGCGGTGTTTTACATTATAATGCAGTGTCTCGGAGCCATATGCGGTGCTGCCGTTGTTAAAGGCTTCCAAAAAGGCCAATATGAAAGAGTAGGCGGTGGTGCCAACACCGTAAACACAGGATACAGCAAGGGCGACGGCCTTGGAGCTGAAATCCTCGGTACTTTTATTCTCGTCTACACCGTCTTCTCTGCCACGGATGCCAAGCGCAGTGCTCGAGACTCCCACGTTCCTGTAAGCAAAATACTCCCTCTATTTCAAAATTGTTAGTCGTTTTTGAACATAAGATCAGTCTAGTTTAGATTTAGTATGAAAATTTTAAAACAAAATAGTTATATAATATATACAAGTCTTATATTTTATATTTTACGATTTAAATTTTATATTATATCAAATTATAAAATAAAAATGTTTAAAGGAAGTTATTGAAGTCAATAATTTAAATAATTTAATGATCATCTCTTTTTATTGGACGTAAGAGATTTTGATTTCAAGTGATATAATATATACAAGTGAAATGAAATAATAAATAAAAGATGGTTGTCTCTTATTGTGCAATCAAAATAAATAAAAAAAAAGATATTGAGAGTTATGCTTCTTATAATTGTTACTATTATGTAATTTAAATTATATAACAATTTTAAAAATATGTATATTCCAAAATTCTTTTGATTTAATCGGAATTTTGATCCTGAATTTGAATGATCAGATCCTGGCGCCGCTGCCGATTGGGTTTGCAGTTTTCTTAGTACATTTGGCGACCATTCCAATTACGGGGACAGGCATTAACCCTGCTAGGAGTCTTGGAGCAGCCCTCATTTACAACAAGGAAAAAGCATGGAATGATCATGTAATTAATTAATCCTCTCCATTAGTTTTTCCAGTTTAATAGCACAGATGAATTAAACCCTTTTTTTTTTTTTTGAATGCCAATGCAGTGGATTTTCTGGGTTGGGCCCTTCATTGGAGCAGCTCTTGCGGCTCTATATCACCAAATTGTCATCCGGGCCATTCCTTTCAAGTCCAAATGATTGAATCAACAAGCCCATGTTATGATGTTCCCGAGCTTGATACATGTAGTGGGTTTTGTTTCTTGGCTTTATAATCTTCCGCTGTTCATCTTGCTTCTGGTTCTGGACATAAAATGGGCAAATCTGGATGGTACTTAGTACTGAAATTGGTGGGTGCATTACACTTACTATTATTTCACTTACCAAATATGTAATATCGATCGCTTTCGACTCTAATATAAGTTATTGCTTGAAATAAATTCTCTAAATATTATTACTATATTAATATGAGTGTATCTCTTTTCTCTTTATTATATTTTTTTAATTTTACATTGCACAAAAAGAGATAAATTTTTTACATTTTTTAACTTATTATATTCACATATCATAAAATTCAAACTCAAAATTTATTATTTTTATTAAAATAAAATTATTATTAAAATATTTAAATTGTTCGCTTCCGTTTGTTATGTTATGTTATTCACTGCATTTTCAATAGTAAAGCTACCTGCAAAAGTGAATGAATGGTACGAACAAAACTGGGCTGCAACAGAAAATGTAAAACCGAGTACATGTTTTTGTGGGCTAACACATGATCTACTTTTTTTTCTATTTTGGGCTTAGGTAAAGGTCTTCGGATTCGGAATCTAAGCCCGCATCCCGCAAAAGATGCTTTCTTACCTAGTTGTACTTGTCTTGACTCTTGAGCCTGGGACCATTCTATAATTACCGATCAATTACCACCATTACTTTTTGTGTGTGTGTTTTTTTAAAGTTAAAACCTTAATTTGGACTTTTTATTTTGATAAAAAAATATTTTTTTAATCTTTCTATTTAAAAAAATCTTTTTATTATTCTTAAATTTTGAAATCCGATTCATTTTTAATTTATCCGTTAAGTTTTGAAGTTAAATGATGAAAATTTCAAAAGATAAGAACCAAAAATGGACTTTTTTCAAAGTAGAGAGACTACATTGAGGGCTATTTTTAGCCAAGTTTTAGTTCCTTTGCTTTGAAATTTATGTCATTTAATTTGGTACGTATGTAAAATTTGACGAAAAAACAAAAAGAAAATCAAATTTCAAATTTTAGGGACAAAAAAATTTTTTTTAAGCAGAATACTAAAAAAAGACATTTTACCAAAATAAAGGGACCAAAATAAGTATTTAACCTTTTTATGGGATACCACCACCAATGCTACATTAACGGAACGGTTGAGCATGAATAATGGACATTAGGACATAGTCTTAACTTTTTTTTTTTTTTTTTAGAGTATTGGCTCAATAACGTTACTGTCCAATTAATATTTTTAAAAATCAGTTATTGTATTAAGTGTTCTATTTATATACGTCATATTATCTTGTCCAAGCTTAGGGAAGAATTGATAACTACTATTTTCTTAGGTATGATATAGTTTGTTAGTTGTTTTTCCCCAATTTAAATACCATTTTGGTCCCTCAACTTTTCACTTTGGCACCAAAATTATCCTTCAACTTTAAAAAATACTAAAATTATTCATAAACTTTCATTTTTGGTACCAAAACAATCCTTTTGTCAGTTAAATGGACAAGTGGCGCGTTAACTTGTCAGCAAATCATTTCTTTTTTTCTTAACTAGTGACGTGAAAAAAAAAACATAGTTGGCAACCCTTTTTTATGAGTTGTCATTTTTATTTAATTACAAATAATAATTTCTTTTTTTTTTTCGTCCACGTCATCTCTTTTTCCTCTTTCACTTTCTCACTCCTTTACCTTTCCTTTTCCCTTACCTCTGCAAACCCAAATTTGTGTTGTCTCTCAAACTTCATCTTCTTCCTCCTTTCGTCCTTACTTTCCCTGCTCATCCTTCTTCTTTCTTCTTCTAAACCGTTTTCATTATCAAGATCAAAATTTGTTTAAAATGTTGGAAGACTCCAAATGGCTTGAGTTGGAGGATCTTCCCATTTATTAAAGAAAAGCAAAATAGATTAAGGAATGATATTTTAACGAGTCTAGCCCTTCTTCTTCTTAGTCTTGGTGGCGGCAGTAGCGAAGAGGGAAGGGAAAGCCATGAGTTGCTTGGTGGGAAGGGCAGGGTTTGGTTGGTCTTTTTGCTGTTGGAGTTTGACTTTGTGTTCTTCAACACGAGCACCTAGGTGCCAGGCTTGCCCCATGGAGATGAGATGGTTGCCGCCATTGTCAATTTGCTTTGAGCTTTCACCTTGGGTTTGATTTTGTCTGCTTCGAGTTTGCATTTGTTAGAAGCAGGAACGGTTTGCAAAAGAACCCAAAATGGTCCCTTTGTAAACCCAAATTTCTTCTGTATTTATCTCCCTCTTCGATTTATCTCTTACTCATTATTTTGAATTCTCAACCATAATTTCGATTTGATTTCAATTCAACGTTTCTTGCAATTTCACAGCTTGATTTTCACTTTTCTATCCCCATTGTTGCATATTGTGAGCTTTCGTTGAAGTAGGTAGCAAGATTTGATTTTTCATTCTATTCATTAGGGTTTTCTCCTACCCATGCTGATCTAGGTTTGCTCTAAATTAGAGCTTTTTTGGGGTTTAGTGTGTTTTCCCTTTTGCTATTTGTCTCGGAGGAGATAGTCTTATCAGGGTTTTGCTTCAAAAAAAGTTTGATCCTATGTGGATTTTAAAGGGTATTTTGGTGTCTCTAGGAAGTGGGTTGTGGTTTGTGGAAGCTTTCAAGGATATGTGTTTGTGAAGTTTGTGTTCTGCTGCTGTTAGGTGTTTATTGGTGGGTGATTTTATGAGCTGCTTGCGAGCTTAATGTTTTTTGGATTGTTCATCCGATGGAGAAATGAATTTCATCTAGTTGTTTAGAAAAACTACTCTAGGTCTAGTTAGAGATTTAACAAGGGGCTTTGATAACGCATCGCGTGAGAAGAAAACCTCTACTGATAGTCATCTTCTTCGCCAAACAATCCACACCGAACAATTTTGGACATAAAGTAACGAATAATTTCACATAAAGTTGAAAAAGGGAGTAATTTTTCTAAAACCCAGATCTGGGTTTGAGAGAGGAAGAAGAAGGGAAGAGAGAGAGAGAGAGAGAGAGAGAGAATAAAAAGAAGAAAGAAGAAGGATGAGCAAGGAAAGTAAGGAGGAAAGGAGGAAGAAGATGAAGTTTGCGAGAGAACCCAGATCTGGGTTTGCAGAGGCAAGGGAGAAAGAAAGGTAAGGGAGAGAGAAAGTGAAAGAAGAAGAAGAGATGACATGGAAGAAAAAAAAGAAATCATTATTTTTAAATTAAACAAAAATGACAACTCATAAAAAAAAGTTGTCAACTATGTCTTTTTTTTCCATATCAAAAAAAGAATTGATTTGCTAAC